GCAACCTCTAAAAGTCAGAGTTCACATAAATGGTTGTCATCACTAACTAATCCGGAGGTCTTAGACATAGGTTCAAATGACTGGCTAGGGTCTTGGACATGGGGAAAAGGCCTTTTAAGTGGTGGAAGTATTCATAGCACAAGGTTCCACATTTCCAAACCCAACAAACTCACAATCAATCAAACCAGTAACTTTCTTTCTTTCTGCTATTCTGCATTACTCAAATTCTCTAGAGCACAAGAGCGAAGGAGGTCACATAAATGCTTAGTATTTCCAAGCCAGACTGCTAAGAAACACTACTTAAAGCGCACTATTTAGATTTTTGATGGTGGCTCTCTTTTGCTTTCATTTTTTTCATTTCTTAAGAGAACCACCACCTCTGCACATTTTTCAAACACCTGCCCAACTTTTTAAGAACTACCTCCAACTCTCACATGATGTTTAGCAGAAACAGCAGAGAACATGCAAAAACCACTCTGTGGAACCTTCTAAAAGATGCAAAAGGGTGATTTTTCATTAAGACCGAAAGAAAGGATAACACAAGGCTCAAAGGGGCTGACTAGGGGGAATGACACACTAGGACAGTCAATTTGGTCGTGGGCTAATCCTATGCCTCCATCATCTTAGCTAATGACAACGTGAATGCTACACATCATGGAAGAGGGAACTATCGCACAAGAAAGAAACGAGCAGGCTCAAATCTCACATGGCTACCTATATGCTCTATCTCTCATTCTGATTCCCTGAACTAGATGCAGAAGAGACTGACAAGAACAAGTAATCAATCCAAGTCACAGTTGGTAAGCAAACAGTTGAAAAACTGAACCCTACACAACTCTACTGCACGTCTCAGTCATCATTATAGGTTGTCCTAATCACCATCCAGTTGTCATGCATTAATCCGAAAACCATTCAATTCACCAATCAAAATACAGTGCCAATATGATCAAACAGCCGTACTTGGAGCCCTCAAATCTCAAATTTGGACAGTGGACTAGGCTCCAAGCACACAAACAGCCAAACACTCACCCGCATACATAATCAAACACCCCCCCACACTTAAGCACGACATTGTCCTCAATGGAGGAAAGATAAGGAGGGTAGAACGAAGTTACCAGATCAAGGGTGAATGATGATGGATAGGTCAGGCGGTGCATTCCAGAACGAGAGAGTAATCAGAACACAAACACCACACAAAATCTCACAAAGGTTGAGTTATTGACTCTGAAATCAAATAACAAAACTGACTCAACCGAGGAGAAATATAGAAAGAAATGCAAACCGACTGGTTGGGTTGCCTCCCAACATGCGCTTCTTTCACGTCGTGAGCCGGACGATGGCTCCTAAGTTTCTGTCCTTGCTAGAACCTCCTTGAAGTTGAGGTTCTCGTCAATGAGGTGGAGTCGCCAGTCACGAGCATGTGGTATGACTGGTGATGGAAGCTCGTGCACTTGATGCAGATGAAGTCTCCATCATCGAGACCTCTTCTTCTCTTCTCTCGTCTCATTGCCCCAAACCAGATATGACAGCATCGATTGGCCACCATTGCGTCCACCAAGAGGGACCGATGTCGATGTGGCCTTGGTCTGGCAAAGAGACACTGCAATTGGGTCCTTGCTAAGTAGTTCCTCGAAGTTATGTGGGGATATTACTTGTATTATAGGGACGGTGCAAGCCTCTTCCACCTCAACTTCATCCTCAGCCTGGATACCACTCGCTTCTTCAACCCCCTTCCTTCTTCAAAATGTGGTCTCTCTCCTCGGAAAAGATCAAGAACTACCTCTTCTTTGATTTCTTCCTCATCCTCCACAACTTCTTCCCTCACCCTTTTTTCTCTCTTCTTCTTCCATAACTGATTGGAGAGCAAGTCGCCATGCAAGGTTCTCAATAAGTTCAGCTTGCATCTCCTCGCTCGGGCCCAGCATGTCAGAGCGGAAATGGGGAAAGTTGTGATCTACCACCAGAGGACACAATTGATCATGATTATCATGGGAGCTTTCCTTGAAAACTTCTGTATGCTCCTCAACATCCTCATGATTGCCTTCTTCTTCCTCCACCTCTACTTGTATGGCAGCATAAAGGTTGTCTTGAGAAAATTGTGCACAAGCTTTCTCAATGACCTCTACGTGCTTATTTATGCTCCGAAGGGTATCCTCTGTTTCACGGGGAAATGAGAAGTCAGTTTGGGCAATGGCCTGGATATGAGGATCCATCTCGGGAAAGGATCTCTCAGGTACTCGAGCAATCTGCTCCACGAGAAGCCTCAAGTGATAGTTTGGATCTGGCTGTGGAGTGTAGCATGGCTCTGCAGAATGGCCCGTGAAGGCTGTGGCAAACCCAAGATCTGATGGTCCTTCTTGTTGTGGGAGGAATTCTTCTTGATAAGGAGATTGTTCTTGAAATACCCAGGGGTCTGATTGTTCTTCGTAGTAGGGGGGTTGGTACTGAAACCCGACTCCATAGTCTTCTCCTCCTTGGTTACTCCAGGGAGTCTCGGGGTAATACCACTCGGATGGTGGTGGATACCCCCAATGGTTGGAGAAGCCATTAGGATCCATGATTCAGATCTGCACCAACAAAACAAAAAACACCCAAGTGAAAAGCAAGGGTGGAAAAAAAACGCTAAAGTAACAAACTTCTGCCTTTCCTAATAATCTAGAAAGTCCCCGGCAACGGCGCCAAAAACATGACACGCTAAAACACAACACCTAACAATGGCCAAGTGTAACCAATGAAAGGGACTGCAGTATAGTGGCACAAGTAATAAATATCGAATCCACGAGTCTCTAGAGTTACTATTACTCAGCTTCAGTTCATTATCTAGCAAACTAGATTAAGGATTGATTTATAAACTACTCTACTGACTACTCTACTAATTACAAGTTGAAAACTCACTTAGGTATGATTCCCCCTAGCTCCTCAGTTAGGTCCAAGTTGCAATTACCTTTGGTTGATCTACTGTTGATTAAACTGCGGAAGATCCGACAGTAGCTTGGAATCTCTTAAGCTGACCAAGCCCTCTCAGTCCAACTACCCGGCAGGCGACTAACCTTCACCGGGATAGAAAGCTGAGGCTATGAACACAGAACTCCACTACCGGAATTGGATTCCAGTACAAAGCAGTAGATTGACTAACTCTCGTATAACCAATTCATCACCATCAATCAAGGAAGCTCTCTTAACCTAATCAGATTCTATCTATCATAGGTTAAAGCAGAAATCAAGAGAGTTTGATCAAGATTCAATTGACTCAATAAATCATGCCTCAATCGATTATAATCAAACAATATAGCATCCAAAACTTCATACAAGAAAGATCCTAACACATGGAACTAGGGTTCCTCAAAACCTAATTGAAGGGAAGTTACTCCATAGAGAAGAGAGAGACTGCAGAAATCTGATCTAGATCTTCAATCTCCATCTCCAAGCTTGATTCCCGAGCTCCAATGGCGAAGAAATCCTCCAAAATAGCTCCAAGAATGTTCCCAAGTCGCTCTCTCTCTCTCTAGGGTTCATCCCTTGGGTGTTTGGGAACCAAAAACCCAGCTCTCTCCTTTACTTTGGCTGAAAATCGAGTTTTAAACAGAAATTCCCGATCACGCGGCCAGGCCACACGGCCGTGTGGCTTTCCTAGCTTCCGTGTGAAGGCTCGGTGATTTCCACACGGCCACGACCCACACGGCCTTGTAGAATTCCAGGATGCCCGTGTGGCTTGCTCAGCCTCTGTTTAATGCTTCGTTTCTCCCTCGTCCGGACTCTGAATCAGTCCCCGTTTGATCCCAGACGCTTGTAGTCTCGTCCTCTTTCTTTTCATGACAAGCTTGCATGATTCTTTGTTCATAAATTGAGGTATAAATCCATTCTTCTTCAGGTCATGCCCGAGTTTCTTCTCCCGAATCGTCAATTGATCTCTGATTGATTTGAAACTTGCGCCTATGCTTCAATTCACATGCTAGGACCTGAAATGTGACAAAGGAACACAACCTAGCATAAAATAGTCCAAGAAAGCAGAAACTCAAGCCAAAATGATCAAGAAACGAGGGTGCAAACATGTGCAAATCCGATGTTATCAATGCATTTCTGGAAACAAACCTAAATCAGCAAATGCCATCACCCAACCTCTATCGAGCAAGCTTATCCCTCGTCTAGGCATTCTGAGAGTATAGGATTGTTAGAGGAACTTTAATGATATCATGGGATTAACCCAAAAGTAGCTTGGTAATGTCAAAATGAGGCAAAAACAGAATCAAGCGAAAAGAAATGGATATGCCTAAGTCTCTTACTGTTCTACTTTGACATCAATGTCAAATCCTCAGATGTTGACCTCAGTTACACAGTCTCTGCTTTGACATCAACCGTTCTGCTTTGACATCAATGTTCTTCATGGTGGTTCTGAGTAGAGTGGCCAATCACATTCAATCGAACGCCATGACGATTCCAGCTTCCTTCAATTCACTACCTCAAGGGTTTGACCCCGATGATGGATTAAAATTTCCCAGATCTAGTTTATCAAAAGGAAGAACTGTGTGGAGATAGTTGGGCGAAATCAATCATTTACTTTGACGGATTCACACTCGGCGCCCGCTGGGGAGCTTGCTAGACGAGACGATTTCCGCAACCGGGTCGGCAAAATTCAAAGGGAAATCCGCTTTGCCTGCCGCAGCGCGCGCCTAGGATGGATTTCGTGAAACTACTTGCTCTTTTTCGAAAACCAAACCATAACTCAAACCGAAAACCGGTTACTCTAGACGCAAGGTTGTCAAACCAGTTTGTGCCAGTGTGCCGGTTTAGCAAGTGGAATGGTTCGACCGGTGGTACATACCGGTTTGTGCCGGTTCATGCCGGTTAATATTACAAATAATTTACAAATACTCATATTTAAACACGACATTTAACGTCAATACCTAAATATTTGTATTTGAATCCAACAAATAACATCAACATTTAACTTTTTAAAACATAAAATAAATAATAAATTATTTTTTATCAATTAAATTCACTAAGATAAGATCCTTTTACTTGGAGATTTGTATATTGATCATGCCGGTCATACCGGTGGTGTCATACCGGTTTTATGACCGGTACAGGTTGAACCAGGTTGAACCGGTGGCACGCCCACTGGCGTGACAACCAGTCCAGAGCTACCCAAACAACTTTAAAAAAAATAAACAAACTGACAATGTTTAAGAATTTCAAACAAAAAGCCCGAACACTTGGGCAAATCACAATCCAAATACTTAAAATGACTTAACTCAGAATCTCCAGTTTATACTCCTAACCATGTAACATAGAAATTAAACTATTCTAGCTCTGACTCTTCACGAGCTCCTTGACTTCTCATCAATGCTAGTGCAGCTACTCGCCTCGCCTTGCCTCTTCTCGAAATTCACCCCTACTAACCCTTCCTCAACCTGGTGAGTGAGATGGGGTCAGTCTCGTCGTTACTTCCTAAGGTCTTTTCCCTAAGAAAACTCCTTACTAAAACACGTTATTAGTATTTCCTTTCCGTAGATGAAAGTCGTTCTCACTTTCATTCTTAATAACTCATTTCAACATTAACTCGTAGAAGTTCTCGACTTCTATCCTTAAATCAAACACAAAACACTAGGACCACCGCATTACGTCTCGTCATCCGATGTCCTACCCTAGTATGCCAACCGCGTTACGTCTCACCATCTGGTTGCATACCCAAACTCGGCAATGGAAATGCATTACGTCTCACCGTCCAGTCCATGCCCGGTCAATTACTGCGTTATATCTCGCCGTCCGGTAGTGACCCCAACATACACGATCAACTGTTGCGTTACGTCTCGCCGTCCAGCAGTGATCCGACCATCTACCGGGTCCAGTAGTGGCCCAACCACGCAGGGGTTCATCTTACCAACAACCACACACATTCACATACATAGCACAATGCGTGCCTCCACCTTAAGTAGGCGGTGGGATGCCTCACACACATAATCGCGCTTACTTGAAAATAACTAACATAACTGAATTAAAGACATAAACTAAAAGACCTCGACAGAAATTTTACCCCCTTTACACTCACCTGAACAGATTACCCTTCTTAATTGCCTGTTGATCCACGTCATCATCCGAAACTCCACACTCCAACTCCTCGTACTTCGCCTCATTTTGCATTTCCTCCTATTAAGTATTTAGGCAAAACTTAACTAACTTATCTCTAAGCGTAACTAACCAAATGACCTTCAATTTGGTTAATTTCAATCCCAATCTCCTCCATTTAATATTTTCTAGGATTCACCCTAAAGTATGGGAAAATTGCCTTTTTGCCCAAATGGCAAATTACCAAATGGTACTCGAAATTCCTAGGTCATGCCAATTCGGTCCAAATCTTTCATAACTGCACCATTTAGTCCACCAGGCCAATTCCCAATCCAATACTCAAACATTTACTAATTGCGAACTCACCCCAAGCCTGGTCAATTACTTTACGGCGCCTTAACTTCCAAAATTTTACCAAATTGCCCCAGCTCCAAAAAGACATATACGCCCCTGACTATTCATCAAATTTCCAATTCGATGCCATTGGTTTCCAACAAATTGGGAACGACGCTCACCTTTGTTCCACTGTCGTTGACTTTCCAACAAATTGGGAACGAACCCACCCTAGTTCGGAGGCCAGCTACAGACTGCCCACACCAAAGGCCGCTTCGGCGGGTAAGTTCGAGGCCCGTCCGTTGCCAAATCTTCCTTCTCTCTAGCGACATCGGGATCGATGCCAACGTCGGAGTCGACGAGGAAAACTCTCGCCATCCTCAAGTCCCTGGGCTCCCGCACACGACCTTGGGTAAACCGCCTTCCTCCTCTTCTTAGGGACAACTTTGTCCTCTTCATTCCAACTCCGGGTTCAGGCCAACGAGAAAACCACCGAGCTCCTCTCCTCCTCGTCAATTCGTCCCCTATTTTCCCAGTTTGTTTCTTTCGCCTCTCTTCCTCTATATTTCCTTAGCTTTATTGAGAAGGAAAACACTCCAATAACCGCCAATTAAAACCCCAAGATTATTGCTTCCGTTACCCATAATTTCCTGGCAAAATTCCAACCGCCACTAGACTCTGCTTCAGCTTCCCTCGTCGGTGGCCATCCACGAGGAGACGAATTCTCTTCTTCCTCCTTCCGGGCCACAGGCCACTCTTCCTTCCCTCTTCTCTCTCGGGCCCAAACCGAGCCCAGTCGCTTCCTCCTCTTCTCTGTAGGCCACCTGCTCTTCTTCTCTCTTTCTTTGTTTCACTCGGGCCTCAAGCCCGTCCTCTCTCCTTCCCAAGACACAAGGCCCAAAAGGCCTCCTCCCCTTTAGACTAGCAACGGGTCGGAAGAAGGCCGCCCCTGCTCTTCTTCTCTTCCTCCTTCGTTTTGGGCTTACAGCCCCGTCACCCTTAAGGTCGGGCCATGTAATGACGCCAAGTTTAAAACCCATAGCTACTAGTCACAACTAAAACCGGCCCAATTAGCAAGATTCACTTGGCTCAATCTATGTCCGTAACTTCCTCGTTTTATATCGAAATTCGACACAGTTAGAATCATTAGTTCCCGTTTTTAATTCTCATCGATATTGCGGTGGAGCTTGATGAATAAATTCCAGGGTAAAATAGTCATTTTAAATTTTAGAAAGAGAGGGGTGTAACATTTTGAAGAGATGATGGAGGAACATATGAGACAAAGATGACTTGGGAGCGGATGCTAGGGACATAGTTGGGGAGATGGATGGAGATCTTTGGAGATCGCTTCCGGAAAATGATTTGGAGGCTAGGAGGTGATCGATTAAGGGATTCGATTTGGATGGAGGATTGGAGATGGGGGAGTGAGCACGAGGTGATGTGAGATATGCGCGAAGAGATGAGGGAATGGGAATTTATAAAACCACTGGCCTACCCAAGTTAGCGATCCCATTCTAAAACAAATCCCTCATGATAGTCGTTGATTAAACCATATCTACGGCGGAAACAACTTCTCCTACTACCGATCCGCATGGATGTTTTTTCAGACCCATTTCCATCCTAAAGTGGCCAACAAAAACATATGAAGAAAAGCTTTATTAAATAACAAAGAAGAAAAGGCTACCGTAAATTTTTTGTTTAGTACTTTCAAAACAACAACTACCGTATTGCCCCATTAATACCTACCAAATGTTATTACGGTATTTAGTAAGCTATTATTGGCTACCGTATTCGATACGGTAGGTAAATTTTCATTATTAACTACCGTCTTTAATACGGTAGTCACCAAACGGTAGGGAAAAATACTATTCTGTAGTACCTTAATTACCTTAACCAAGAGGGCTACCCTAGTAGACTATAATGTATTCCTTGGTTTGGCAATTGAGAGTGTGTTCTTAGATCATAGTTGCACCTCCTAGCGGTTCACGATTGCCTCGCCCATAACGTCCCATTCGAGTCCACGTGCTATTGTAGTAGTTAGGGCCTTAGGGGGAAGCGACACCCGAGTGATCCTTCTCATTTAAAGCTTTCAAACCATTTACCTTTGCTTTGTTTTAATTTAAACCTCATTGTTTTCAACCAAAAACCAATCCGCTAGATAATGTTTCAAACAACGGAAGTAGGGGTACATGGACCGGCCCGGGTTGATATTAAACATAGTTTCCCTATATTGCACACATCTAAGGTTTATACTTGGGCCTTAGGTGCGATTTTGTTGTGATATTCGGGACGAGTTAGTTCAACCGTAATTGACCATTTCTTAATGAAAATTTTAACATAAGGCCATGTTTTATATTTTTCTAAAGTATAAGGGCATGTTTGATGTAAAAAATAGTAGAGGGACATGTTTGATAAAATGATATAGTAAAGGGGCATATTATACATATAACCCTTTTAATATTGAGATTAAGATAAAAGTAGGAAAAATTATAAGAATAGTGTGATATTGCAACGAGTTATGAGAAAGAGGAAGAAAATTCTATGAAATAATATTGGCAATTAGATTTTAGAGATGAATTATTCTAAATTTTATAGAAAAAATATGTATAGAGTGAGTATATTTAGATTTGATCATAAACTCTTTTGAATAAAATTCATACAATAATGATAAGATCCTATAAAAAACAGCTTTTTGAAACAACAAGGAAGCTACTTGAAGTTGTGTCACTGCTTTCATCTAATTTTATTGTGTTGTCAACTCTTGTTGTCACAACAACATATGAAAGCATAACTCAACATGCTTTCAGTCTTTGTGTTTCACATGTGAAAACATCAAACTAAAAACTAAAAATGATGTTAGATCATGCCTAAGGGTGCAAATGAGTTGAGTCAAGTTTTGAGTTAATTAGAGTTCAGTTAGTTAATAAATGAGTCGATCACGAGCTCGAATCATTTTCTCAAATATTTGCTCGTGTTTGACTCGAGTTCCGCACATTAACAAGCTCATCAATCACCTCGCGAGTTCGGCTCCAACTCAGGTATCATATTATTTAGTTCATAAATTTGAACTGTATCATTTTATATCATAGTAATTAGTATCTAAACAACCTATGTTACATAATTTCTCTTTAAATCATAAATGATATATATTGGCTCGATAGGAGTTATGGTGACAACATCCAATTTGTTAATCTAGTGCTAACACTAGGAGCAAATAGGAAAATTTCATTTTGATGGCTTTTTTATTTAGAAGGGGTCGACCATTAATGCTGATTTGGAAAGGTTAAAAATTATAAGGAGCACACAAGTGTGGTGCTACTCATTTATTCTATGTCTCGCCCTCACTAGAAGAATCATGAAGCATATGACAAAACACAGACCGAGTAGACCAGAAAGATTATAAAACATACTAGAACATCACCTCACCACAAAAATCATATAACATACCAGAAAACTCAAAACTTACTACATGTTTCTTAAAGCATACCATAAATCTCATAAAGAAGAGCACAATTCATGTGAAGCCGACCAGAAACCTCATAAAAGCTTACAGAAAGTTTCTTAAAGAGACCAAAAATCTAATAAAGCAAACTAAAAGTTTGTTGAAGTAGACGAAAACCTCATAAATCATATCACAAGTTCCCTAGCGTATTAGAAACATTACAAAGCAGACCACAAGTTCCCTGAAGTAAAACAAAAACCTCATAAAGCATACCACAAGTACCTTAAAGCATAGAAATATGTAGAACCATACCAGAACTCTCATGAAGCGGATAAGAAGGATGAGAAACAGGTGAGAGCTCAGGTGTGGTTGGAGGACAGACTAAAGTTGCTGCAATCGGAGGCAAGCAAGCACCAGAGGGCCTTGGACAGGTTGTCACAAGCATTCTCCACCATACAAGCGCAGCTAACCGCGCTGACCGCCAAGATAGAGACCTCGAAGGCAACGGTGGAAAATAGGGCGGTCGCCGCGAACTCGACTGGGAGTACCGCGGCCGCTAGGGGGTCTCCGCCCCGGTAATGGCGTAGGGAAGCGAAGGCGGCGCGTTGACCTTGGGGCGATACCAGCCGGGGGGCCCATGTAGGTTAGAGTACCGATGATAGCGATGGCGGTGGCCGACCTGAGCCGTGAGCTGGCGAGCCACGTCTACTCTAGCCCACGCTTCGGGGATGGGCTATTGCCTAATCCTAAGGCCCAAGAGGTCATAGGGTGGCTCGGAAAGACCAAGAAGCCGGAGTACGAAGATTGGAATTGCCAATCGGGCTTTGGGTTCGGAGACTTGGTGGGTCGGGAAGAAGAGCTAGGGCTCACACAAAATCCCAATAGGTTGGTTGGCTAGGAACAGACTATGGGGAAGACGAACTAAGCCTGGAGGGCCAACCTAAGATTTGGGTCGGACCAGGATGGGGCTTGGGCAAAAGAAGCAGATCGGGATGCTTGGTCTGAGATGAACCAAACTATTTGAACCAGGAACGATCAAATTAGAGTCAACCCAAGCCAAACTTACCCAAATCCGACCTGGCTAGGCAGCAAAGGATCGGCATCCTATCGAGGGCCCTATGGGGAGTCCGGAGCTTCCTATCCTCCTTTCATGACTCCTCAAGATCCAGGGAGTCCCACCGGTGGAACGTGGAATGGTGCACAAGGGTAGAAGGGTGGACCATATGGATATATGGGCAACCTGGAGGATGACGAGGGAGAATGGGGTCGAGACAGAGACCCTCAGTTTCCGAGGGATTATCATGGCAGAGCTCTAGGCTATAACACGTATGACGGGTATAATCATGGGTATGATACAAATGATGTTCTTGTATTGAGGGACAAACCACCAACAATTGAATTCCCAAAATTCAATGGTAAGTAGGATGCAGGTCTATGGTTGTATGCAACTGATAGGTGGTTCAAGTAGCAGAGTACAGAGCAGAGTTCTTCAAATTGGGCAACCAGTGCAAGGGAGTACCCTAGGAGACACTTGTGGGACTGTGTATGGTGGGTCTTTGACTCGAATCACTGCTATAGTAAGGGTGTTCGAACCCGACTCTTTGAGAATTGCCTTCAAACTGCCAAGGTGCAAGGAAGAGGAGATAGCGAGCTGGAGGGGTAGGATGCATTAAAGCATCGGTATGTCATGTGTGCCAAGTTTGGGTAATGGATTAGTCCGACATGTTAGGAATTAGGTAGGGGTTTATTATTATCATGGGCGGCTTAGTCGAAGTAGCTAGTAGTAGAGTCCAAGCAGGAGGCCGACGGTCAGGGTTGGCTAGGTTCGGGGTTGCTTTACCATTATGTATATTGTATGTTGTTCTTTGTTTCTAATCAATGAAGAAGAATAAAACCCTAAACTAAGCTCTCATCTCTCTCTCAATTCTCTCTTCTTACGCGACGCACATGTGCCACTTGGTATCAGAGCCTGGTTCGATGGAATTGAGCTCTAAACAACTCCCTGGACAAACATCACCAACGTTCAACCTCCAACATTGGGAAGAGTTCCCGCGAGCACCCAAAGCCACCATCACGCCCCCGCCATGACAAGGTGGATATGCAGCTACTTTCCGCCAAGAACGACACGCCAAATTCTTTGACCGACGAAGGGAGGAACACCTCGACAGCAGCCACAAAAGCACCGGGAGAAGTGGACGAGCACCCGACCATGAGTAGCGAGACGGAGAGGTTTCTATGCCTGCCATAACCGATGTCTTGAAGGGGTGGTCAGTTCTCCTCGTCACCACCACCAATGAAGAGGCAGTAATGGCCCTGGTAAACATCTTCTCCTCTCACAACTTTGTGAGTCGTGAAGTCGCGGAATATTTGTTGTTACGGTTACACCCCATCCTTTTCTTAAGCCAAAATAACCATTATGCCTTGGTCAAACTTTATCAAATTCCAGCTTAATATTAATGAAAACTAATAATGCTAACTGTCGGTTATAACAGTGTTGAGTTTCGACATAAAATGAGAAAGTTATGAACGTTTTAACTTACTTTCAAATGAAACTCACCTGACCCGTAATTAGGAAATTCTCAAAATAATCGGGGCAATTAAACCCTAGGAAACCCCTTCCCCACTCGGCTTCCCCCTTGACCTTTAAATACTACCTGAACCAATACCTCACAAAGTAGCCGCTCATCCCGTTGGTAGGTTTTGTTTTTACTTATTAGTATCGGGAGGTAAAAGCGAAACCCAGAGAAAGACTTGATGTAGGCGACGTAAAGTTACCAGGGTGGCATGCGAGGGAGATGAGGATCAGGCATCCTACTAGTCGTGAAGGCCAAGCTAATTTTGATGCTCCTAAGAGATTGGTTTACTAATGGGCATTCGAATTAGGTCTCGCTACCGAAATCCATGTAAGGCTTCTTAAGGTAATTAATTATTTTCCTTCGCCTTTGTCATGTTTTGGGAATGCAATTTGGGGTCCGTGGGAGCTTGGGGTATGGAATTGTTAGAG